ACGTCGGTCGACGGCGGTCGACGGCGGTCGACGGCGATCGGTGGTGTTGCTGAGTTACAACTCCTCAAGACCTCAGACTCTCTCTAGGCTTCAGTCCCCTCCCTCATGAGAGGGGTAGGGTTCTATTTATAGTGTTCTGGGTGTCATTAATGCAGGAATATGAACCATTTTTATCGGACGGTCCGGAGAGTTTCCTCGAATCAAATGACGTTTAACGGACATTTGAGCCTTCACGATGTCTGAATTGCGCAATCTTGGGCTCGTTGGATTCGTCTTGTCGAGACGCTCGATTCGATTATAAACTTGTCAGCTTCAGCATCTGTTTGACTTTTCAAATGTGTCCAGAAATTTTTCAAGAATGGTTTAATGACTTAATCCATGCTTGATTTGACTCGGACTGGACTGACTTTGATATAATTAGGTCTGCCTCATTGAGTCGGTCAGTTTGACTATAAGTTTGCTGAAATCGAAGCTACAGATGAGTTTGTATCAATGTTTGAGCATCCCTTGCTTAAAATATTATGTCGAGATCTATGAAATGCTTCGAGATTCGTGCCAGATAAGAAAAACTGGTTGGTCGCATATAAAGAACAACTCTTTTTTTTCTAGATAACCCTGCTAAAGAAAAAAATCAAATTTAAATTTAAAATTATCAAAAATCAACTTCAAAATTATTTGTATTCCAATTATCGAACAGTATAATTTTTCTTTTTCTTAATTTTGATCATCAAGCATTCGATGCGGTATACTGACTCATTTTGACTGATTTTCAATCTTAACAACATGATTTGCAAATTACTCTATTATCAGCTTCCCGTAAAAAAATAAAAGCCGTCATCTAAATCAATTAGACCTTTCTCTTGATCCCTTAATGATTTGATGCCGAAATTGTGGGTGAATTTTATTCTAATAGATTTTATTGAAGTTGTTGGTTGGATTGGCCAACTCCCTCATGATTTTTATTTCTATATCATCTATATGATGAAGCTAGATTTCAAAGATAAAACATTAATCTCCTCTCCCTTTTGGTTCTCTTTGGCTATGCCCAAGTAAAGTGAACCACAGAAATGAATCTGTTAGGTGTCACTCCAAATATATTCAACTACAGACTATTGATTTTATTTTTACCATAATTACTTAAGAAGGTGGAAGAGATGACGGGCCAAAAAGGTGAAAGGTGAATTGGTTTGGAAGAAAATTTGCTTTTCTAGGCTTAGCTAGCGTGACTCTTAGTTCTGGAAGAAGAATCCTACAATGAATTTGTCACCCAATTATTCACTCAACAATAATTAAAGGACAAATATGATTCATGAATCCAACATTAAATAATTGGGAAATGACTAATGATAATGTGATAAAGTTGTTTTATAGCGCCTTCAATTGTTTGATATACTTGACTAAAATTTTAAAATCTAGTTTATATAAATATGGTTTAAGTTATATGACTAGTTAACTTAATATCAACCTTGAAAATTTATTTTCTTGGCGTGAAGTAGAAAGAGCTTAAGCTTTATGATGGGCTAGTCACTGCACGAGACATTATGCGGTTTTTAAGAGATTAAATAGGCTAGATATCTGGCTAGATTGTTGTTTCAGCAGAATTAAGATTGCAATATTATTTTCTTAATACAATTTTGAGTTGGTATATGTGCCTTTTTATATGTAGCCAGCATGCTTGTACGCCTCCATACATGAGAGCATTTTTTTTTCTGATAAGTTTTTTTTTTTTTTTTTCACAAACTAGATGCCTTTGATTTCTAAAATTTTATGGCAAGCTTTCTGCAAAACTGTTTCTATTTTTATTGCTGTACTGATTAAATGTCAAAGTCAGCTGTAAATTTGGATATAAATTCTTATATACCTTTTTTATTGAAAGATAATGTATATGTTCGTCAAGTCACTTATAAACACTTCTCACTTTCTGTCTTTTTGAGGATTTGATTTTGAAACCCTTGATTTAATGACTAGGTTTATTCAGCTAATTGTTGCAGTTGGTTCTTCATGTTTTTACAGGTAACTGTTGTACATATTTGTGAGGCAACTCTGACAAAAAGGCTAATTGAGTTTGAGAATACAGAGTCTGGTTCTTTGACGGTAACCATTTCTTCTGTTTTCAAAATAATTTCATCGTGCATTAATCAGTGGGAATTTGGTATAAACTTATGATGTGATGATACAAAAGTTAACCCAAACAACAATAAGAAAGTAAATATTATTATTGAAAGCAGATAGGCGGTTATAAATGACACCCTGAAAGGGAAATGACAAAAACAGACACAGACAAATACAACGGCAAACAGCAAAATGAAGTGGTTGGGTTTGAATCTGGGTGGTAGACGTCTGAGAGGAGGTGGAGGGAAGTGCAGGGGAAGCTTGGTGGCTGCAGGGGACAACAAGGTGCTGTTTTGCAGTGCACAGTGAAGTCGATGGCGGCTGCGAAGGAAGGATGCAGGGCGAGGGGAAGTCAAAGATAAATACTATATCGAGAGTGAGATACAGCCGGAGCACTAATCGATCCTTGGAGGATAATCACCAACTCGGAACGAGATATAACCGAAGCACCACTCGCCCTTAGATACAACTTTAAAAGGGAAACAAGGGATGCCGACATCTATCCTGACAAAAACACAATAAAAAATTAAAATTTAAACCATAATACAACACATATATAAGAAATGACTAGAAATAAATGAAAGGAAATGATGAAATTTGCTAAATATTTTATAGGGATTAAAAACACGGTCACTCATTTTGGCTGTGTCGTTCGCATTAGCCAGTCGCACTCCCGATCATGAGATCGCGGGAAGCCTGCTTCTGCTCCTTTGTTGGGAAATACCTATGTCAGTCTCAAGGGATTGGGAGAGCTTTGACCTCATTCGTCAAAGTTTTTGTCTGTACGTTGACGATGATAGAGCTACTGTAACATTCTGGAGCTGAAGAATATTTGACTACGGCCCTAGAAAAACTTGAATCTTACTGTCGATTGCACTGTATTCCAAAACACGTAAGGAGTTTTTACCATTTGTGAGCAGTCATCCATATCGATCTAACTTTCTATGGGTATACTACATAACTGAACTGAGACATATCATGTATATTCTACCGAGTCCTCCCAAAGTAATCCCAAGTTGGCTCAACCCGATTTGAAGTGAGGGCAACTTTAATCTCTCCGAACAATGGCGACCATGGAGGTAAACTATCGAACATGACGCCTTGAAAATCTCTATTCTAATTGGCCTAGTTCTAAAACTGGTTCTCCTGTCCCGCTCTCCTCTGTCATCAACAAAACTGATCCTGTGGGCGCTTCTCTGTCGGTAAGGGCACCTGTAACATCAGAGTTGCATACGGTAGAAGGCTATGCGCTTTCCATTTTTGGTGAAAAAATAAATGTTCCTGAACCCATCATGTTGAATCCTATTATCAAACTACCATGGTCTCTCCAACAAAAGATGGCAAGTATCCATGCACACCATGTCACACCCGCCTGATCTTCCAGCTGGTTCCCGATCAAAAGTTTCATAAGACACCTGTCAATTTTGACCATCTTTTCCTTCTTTAATCACATTAAGGAACACAACTGAGAATGTCTCTGAGTTGTGAGATTCAATTTGTTCACCATCCGTGTATGCATCATATTCTTGTTGATGAAATTGCACACATTTACTTTCTCAATACGAGTGCAAAATATGTGTCGGCACAAAAAAGAGAAAGAAAAAGATTGTTTGGGGGGTCGCCCGTAAGAAGCTGTCGGCAGCCGGAATCAAAATCCCGTTACCCGCTTCGGAAGGACTTTTTAATTTACGTGTATATATATATAATTTTAGAAAAATATGAAATCAAACTGCAAACTGACCTCATATTTTTCACAGTTTAAATGAAAGAGCACTCTACCTCAAATTCTGTATCTACCCCGAGGGATAAACACAAGATTTGAGGATGAGGCTCGATCAAATAAACTAAGAAAACATATGACATCTGTTTGGGTCTGCGAAACCGTTTTATTTGCCGACAAGTTCCCCTATTTAAGACGA